TCATTCTATTTTCCCGCTAAAATGTTTGGCCCCAAAGACAGGAAATCGCCCCAAAGCAAAAAGCAAAAACACCCACTGCACGCCCACCAAGCCTCCGCTCTGTCAGACGCCAAAAAACGGGCGCCGGGACCTTGGCTACGCCCCGGTCGCGCGGCGCTGCCGCCGGGCTTCCGCGGCCGGCGGGCTGGATGCGTTGCGCCGGCTCCTGCTTCAAGAGCAGGGCCCAGCAACTTTCGGCTGACAGCCCCTGACCTCCCAAGGCCTGGAGCTGAAGCCTTCAATCATCCCGTGCGCGACGGCGGAATTGCCCGAGCTTCTGCCTCCGGCGATTCAGCCGAGCCTTTCGCGCACGATCGGATTGCGGGCGGAAGGCGCGGCTGAAGAGCTAAAAAAATGCGTCTAAATATGTGTCTAAATATTTGTCTAAATGTCTGTCTAAGTTGTGTGAACCCGTTCTAAATTTGTTGGCCCGACCTTCTAAATTGGGTCGGGTCAACAAATCCTTCCCGATTTCACACCCCCGCGACATTTAGCAAACATTTAGCGCAAGATTTAGTGAAATCCGGAAAAAATTTAGCGCAATATTTAGCGGGAAATTTAGTCGGATTTCAGGTCGGATTTTCCTTGCGATTACCCGCGAATTTAGCCAGAAATCTACTCCGCTTCCGGCTGGCGGCCGCGGGGCCGGGGCCGCCAACCGACGGCGGAATGGGTAGTGGGGCAAATGTCGGGCCGCCGCGCCATATCCGCAAAATTTAAAAATTCGAAGCGGGATCGCCTCGAATTTTTAAATTTTAAAACGAACAGGGGCGGCGCTGCGGGGAAGCCATGCTATCACGCGGGCGCCGCGGGCTTCGCGTGAACCCGCGGCACACACCCCGCACCAGGCCGCCCCCTGCACGACGGGAGCGCTGCCTTGGCGCAATCGGGCGGCCCAGCCCCACGGAGCCAAGCACGGGCGCCGCGCGGGGGAAAATTTAGCCAGAAAATAGCGCGAATTTAGTTGGAACCTCCGCCCCGGGTCGTCCGCCTGACTTTCGTGGGCAGATGGTAGAACTCCACATGAAAATACTTGCGGAGGAGTCCGCTCTGCACGACGGATTGCACTAGTTTATCGAATTGCAACAACCACAGTCGCGGACTTTCCTTCGGGTTTGCGAACGTCGTCAGCGTGGCTCCCGTGAGGTTTCCCACGACGTCAATCTCGGCCGAGGGGATGTGCATCATCGCAAACGGCTTGAAGAAACGGCACGCGTTCCACATTTCCTCGACAGTCGGCATTTTCCATTCACTTGTGGACGCAGGCCGCTGCTTTTTCGACGCGTTTTCCTCCATTTTCTTCTCCATCGGCACATCTACTTCCGGCATTCCGAAAGCATCCAGGCGCTCTCCGTCGTGGACCAGAAGCTGCTCACGCGCTTCTCGGCTGTACGGTTCGTCCTTGTGGTCCTCCCACATTTTCGCCAATTGCGCTTGGGTCATCGGAACTTCCAAATCGCCTGCGAGTCCCAATTTCAACCAGATGCATACTTGAACTGCCAGCGCTGCTCAAATTCATCAATCGTATGCGCTACTTGTTGAACATATCAACTTCATCAAGAGTACCCGCTCCGCCCGGGTTGTCATCGATGTCGTCCCGGTTGTCTGTGCTGCTCTCCGGCAGCACGTTCTTATCCAATGAACTACCGGCCACCATTTGCGTGACCTGCGGAATGTAAATTGCGCAACGCAGTTTCTATCGAGGTGAAGCTGCTTCATGAAGCTCCGAGAATGTATGCTTAAATGCATCTAGATCTAAGAAATACCTTTTCAATCCCGAAACTCACTGTGTTCTTTTTCCAAAGCAGGCGATAAAAACCTCCGCTACACCTGAGGTTTTTTTTGTTGTCCGAATTTTGCGCATTTCGAACAAAAGTCACACAGTTGCAGATTGTCACATCGCCCGCAATCATACACGCAGCAAGTGTTTACTTATAGGCCCGATCCTTCGCGCCTGATTCTTTTGATTGTGGTCAAAAGGATCTCGTCTTGCACCGACAAGGATTTGTTCCCGAAATCCAGATGCTCCCAGAGGTGCGCGGCCGAAAAATCTTGAGCGTTTTCGTCGATCAACAAGGAATTCTCCACGTCCACAGATCGGAAATCGTGCAGCTTCTTGGTGCTCAAACTTTCGGAAGTGCACAACTTCCGGATAGACTCCAACGCTTGTCGTGCAATTTCTTCCCGGAACTCTCCCGCAATCTTTCGGCTGATGTCAATCGACGACTTCAAAGTCGTCGGAATCCATCGAAAACACGTAGTTTACCTGATGTCAGTTTTGGTTTGTTTTGAATATTATTTCAGATAATATCCACATGCATCTATAAGCAAATTTCTACTACGATTTGCGATGCTTATCCAAAACCATACACATTACCCTTTTGTAATGCGCCGCCGTTCCCGGGCGGATTTGAGACCAAGCGAATTTCTCCACACCGAGATTCGTGCGTAAGTCTTTTACTGCTTGGTGCTTCAGCGAGTCAGAATCGCTGAGATGCCACGAGATCCTCACTGAATCCTCCTCGTGTTGTTGATGCGTGACCTCAGCGGTGTCGTCTTCTGGCGGGATGCGCGCTGACGTAGTTTTCCCCCACTTTTGTCTGCGGTTGTTCAACGGAAAACGACGCGCAGACTCCTGATGATCGATCACGATGCAGCCACCTACTGCGATGCTCAGCAACTGACGCTGGCGATCGCAATGCTGCAGGTTGTCGCTTCTGTGTCTGCACGGGTAGATTTCCTTTTCTGCCGTGCTCAGCGGCGCGATTTCATCGATGACAAGAGTTTTCTTGTAGGTCTAATGTAGCATGCTTGATAACGCGGATCTCTAAAATTAATTTCTACGCTCTTGTCGAAAAAGGCACTGCCAGAAGCCATCTCTTTTACGCCATTGGTTCAGCCAAACACGCTAGCTTTACCCTCTTCCTATTCATTTAGCCTGAAAGATGTCGTGAGTGCATTGCGTCCCATCCTTTTCACCATCTTATATCCATACTTTTTTAATCGAGGTAATTTTTGCCACCAAAAAATACTGTCAGTCGCACGCAAGATCCCCAATTGATCAATCAAAAAGCTTGTGACACATCCGTCTTTCGTAGCGTGTCAAACTTGCGGAACAACTGCTCGCTTTCGCTCGAGTGTCATGAGCTAGACTCCGCAACTTTCCTTGCTGGTCTTCTATTCTTATTTGTGAATTTTTTGCAGTCAGTCAGATCGCATCTGACGCTTCATAAGACCATAAATTCGCCATGGCTGTTTCCACTACATGTCGTGGTCAGCGGCAATCGCTGCTGTCGTGTCACGATACGACATGAACAGCTTTAATACAGCAACTCTGGGCGTAACCACATATGCTTGACAACGAGTTGCCAGCTCGCCGGTTCCAGAACCCAGTCAAAATGAAGTCTCATCTTTCTTTTTGAAATAGCCTTCAAATTGCAGCCCTGTGCATCGATGCCTGTCCACGTGCAGGCCTTACTTCGATTTCTTGCTGCTCTTCTTCTTCCGCCACTGGATCTTGTCCTCATCGAACGCGCTCGGGTTTTCTCGCGGAGAGCCAGCCCCGGCGGGCGACTGCCTAAATTCCCGCTATTTTTTGAACCGCCCAAGCCCTAGCCTGGGCGAGCAAGCCCGCCCTGGGCAATAGGCCGAGGCGGGCAACCCATGCCGGGGACACAGGCGGGGCGCGGGCGACTTGCAGAACGCAGACGCCTGAGCCCATCGCCGAAGACCCGCCAGAAAGGCGCAGTGGCGAAGCAATTGCGCCGCCAACCCTTTCAACCGTTCTTGACCACGTCCCGAAATTTTCTAAGTTTGCGCCTAAATTTCAGAGCAACGGCCGACATAGGCAAAATCGCACGCAAATTGCCCAACGGGGCAAATTAGACAAAAAATAAAGAGCAGCCGAAGCGGCCAAGGCCGCTGCTTAAACAGAAATTAGAGGCGGCAAAGACCGCGAATATAGACAGGAAAATAGGAAAAAAAATAGACAGGAAAATAGACAATAAATTAGACAAAAACTTAAATAAAAACTTAGGCAGGAAATTAGACAAGAAATTAGACAAAAACTTAGACAAGAAATTAGCGCCCCCGCAAGAGCGCCGACTGTAGGAAAATTAGCGCGAAAATAAAGAGCCTGGCGCCGGGGGCGGCTCTGTGCGAGTTTTCCGACACCGCGCTCGTCGGCTTCATCTCGCCATCATCCGCCATCTGGAAGGTAGCCATGATGTTATCTCCATCCGGCATTCCCGGCATGGAATGCACGATGGTGGGCGCGCACTTGCGCCACATATGCGCGTACTCGGGACAATAGCGATCGGAGATGTCAAACCACTTCCCCTGCTCCTTGATAAACCCGAAAATCGGCGGCGCGCAGAGGCCCAGCTTTTCGGCCTTTGCCGCTAAGTCCGCGTCCCAGAACGCCGCGTCATAGAGCCCGCTGGGCTCGCCACGCTGGACAACCGGAGTCGGCTTTCCGTACTTGTGCGACATCTCGTCTGGACGCAAAGTCAGATAGACGCTACTTAACTTATCACTAGTTATTTCCTTTAACACTCAGCTCTTTCGTCGCTGCTAATCAAACACAGGAAGCAACGGTTTGTCATGAAGGTTTTTTACAAAAAAAGCATGAGTGTGGGAGTGCGCCATGCACTACTGGCTGCGTCTCAGCGCAGCTAAAAACCTCGCTCGTCAGAGGGCGGCGCCGCGAGAACAAAGATCACCGCACTCCCGGACAAACCGGAAGTGGACTGCCCCGAAATCATTCGCAGATGATTTCCTCACTTCCATCGTGCTCGACGTTCTAAGATAGATCAACGGAACAAAAAGAACAACTGCTAGCTAGTTCAATAGCTAGCACGCCTGCTTTGGCTAGTTCACTTTCATCTTGGTCATTTCTGAGATCCGTCTCCGATTTCATTTCTATTCTAGGTACTCGGGATACTTCGAATAATAAAGAAAGAAGAAAACCGAAACGATGAAGACAGTTGCTGCTAAGGACACCCCCCAGCGCTTGGGTGTCGGTATCTCTGTCCTGGCCATGAGCGGCTGGCCGCACAAAAAGAAAGAAGCGCAGTTAGAAACCTCGGGGCGGTGGCGGCCGCTAGTTTCCAGCTAATTTGTGCGGGATTTTTTCAAACCCCGACAATCGGGATAATAGTTGAAGGCCCAAACCCGAAAAGGCGACAACCCAAGTTGCCGCGCGCGAGGTCCCAAAACAAGCACGAGAGGGGCTTCAGGACAAGAAAAAGAAAACAACGAGAAGCAGGCCGCCTCCTACACATGGAGCATGGCAACGCCGGCAATCTCACACAGGACGAATTCCCACAAAACAAAACCCCAAATCCCAAAACCGCCCGAGAAGCAAAAGCACCCGTCGAACACTCCACCCAGTTGCACCCATACGAAACACCCCCCGCGGGCGGCTATTTTCGCTGCTAATTCTGCGGCTAATTTTGTTTCTATTTTTGGGCTTTATTTTCGTTTCTAATTTTGCTTCTATTTTCGTACTCTAAATCATGTTCTATTTTCGTACTATGAGTCATGTTCTATTTTTGGGCTCTATGTCGTATTCTATTTTGGCTTCTAAATCGTGCTTCTATTTTGCTTTCTATTTTTTGCGGGATTCGCATGCTCGAGCGGCTGCTTTTCAACTTCTAAATTCGCGCTTTGGAGGATTTCCTTTGGAAATCTCCAGCGTCACGAAAAATAGAAGTTGGGAAGACAGCGGCCGAGCACGCGAATCCCGCAGAAAAATAGAAAGCAAAACAGCGAGCACGTTTAGAAGTCCAAAATAGAATACGACTCAGAGCCCAAAAGTAGAACGCTTTCGAAAAGCCCAGCGGCAATGGCTTTGCGAAAGAACGAAACAGGGATAGGGTGCAGGGATTTCAACATTGGCCACACGGCCCAGGTCTTCACAACCCAAGCCGAAAATCCGAGGGCCCCCATGAAAATCAGACCACAAGCGCTGCCCTCCACCTTCGGGGCCACCCGGGTACGAAAATACCAAAGAAGCCCCCAGGGCGTTCGAAATTCCGAATCCCCTGCAAGCGGCCCTAATTTTTAAATTTTAACTCCCGTCGTGGCTTTTCATGGAAAAACACACGCGGGGCCAACGGGGGGATTTGACAAAAACCCGGCCCCCCGGGCGCGGTGGAAAAGGGCGGAACCCTGCGGGCCCGGGAAACTTCAGCGCCCGGGGACGAAAAGCACCGCCCACCCTAAGGGCTCCGGGGAAATCCCGCACAAATTAGCTGGGATCTAGTGCCTCCCGCGGCCCGCGGGCTCTCTGACTGAAGAAGCCGAAGCCATGAAGGCGCTTGCTTTTAAGGACACCCCCCAGCGCCTGGGCATCTCTGTCCTAGGCATCAGCGGCTGGGAGCACAAAAAGAAAAAAGAAAACCGAAAGAAACCAAGAAGACAGCTGCTGCGAAGGACACCCCCCAGCGCTTGGGTATCTCTGTCCTGGCCATAAGCGGCTGGCCACACAAAAAGACAGAAGCCGAAACCATGAAGACAGCTGCTGCTAAGGACACCCCCCAGCGCCTGGGTGTCTCTGTCCTAAGCATAAGCGGCTGGGCACACAAAAAGAAAGAAGAAAACCGAAACCATGAAGACAGTTGCTGCTAAGGACACCCCCCAGCGCTTGGGTATCTCTGTCCTGGCCATAAGCGGCTGGCCGCACAAAAAGAAAGAAGCCGAAACCATGAAGGCGCTTGCTTTTAAGGACACCCCCCAGCGCCTGGGCATCTCTGTCGTAAGCATCAGCGGCTGGGCGCACAAAAAGAAAGAAGAAAACCGAAAGAAACCATGAAGACAGTTGCTGCTAAGGACACCTCGTCCCAGCGCTTGGGTATCTCTGTCCTGGCCATAAGCGGCCGGCAGCACAAAAAGAAAGAAGCCGAAACCATGAAGACAGTTGCTGCGAAGGACACCCCCCAACGCCTGGGCGTCTCTGCCCTATCTAAGCATAAGCGGCCGGGCGCACAAAAAGAAAGAAACAAACCGACAGAAACCATGAAGAAGGTTGCTGCTAAGGACACCCCCCAGCGCTTGGGTATCTCTGTCCTGGCCATAAGCGGCAGGCCGCACAAAAAGAAAGAAACCGAAACCATGAAGACAGTTGCTGCTAAGGACACCCCCCAGCGCCTGGGTGTCTCTGTCCTAAGCATAAGCGGCTGGGCGCACAAAAAGAAAGAAGAAAACCGAAAGAAACCACGAAGGCAGCTGCTGCTAAGGACACCCCCCAGCGCTTGGGTATCTCTGTCCTGGCCATAAGCGGCTGGCCGCACAAAAAGAAAGAAGCCGAAACCATGAAGACAGTTGCTGCTAAGGACACCCCCAAGCGCCTGGGTGTCTCTGTCCTAAGCATAAGCGGCTGGGCACACAAAAAGAAAGAAGAAAACCGAAACCATGTAGACAGTTGCTGCTAAGGACACCCCCCAGCGCTTGGGTATCTCTGTCCTGGCCATAAGCGGCTGGCCGCACAAAAAGAAAGAAGCCGAAACCATGAAGGCGCTTGCTTTTAAGGACACCCCCCAGCGCCTGGGCATCTCTGTCGTAAGCATCAGCGGCTGGGCGCACAAAAAGAAAGAAGAAAACCGAAAGAAACCATGAAGACAGTTGCTGCTAAGGACACCTCGTCCCAGCGCTTGGGTATCTCTGTCCTGGCCATAAGCGGCCGGCAGCACAAAAAGAAAGAAGCCGAAACCATGAAGACAGTTGCTGCGAAGGACACCCCCCAACGCCTGGGCGTCTCTGCCCTATCTAAGCATAAGCGGCCGGGCGCACAAAAAGAAAGAAACAAACCGACAGAAACCATGAAGAAGGTTGCTGCTAAGGACACCCCCCAGCGCTTGGGTATCTCTGTCCTGGCCATAAGCGGCCGGCCGCACAAAAAGAAAGAAACCGAAACCATGAAGACAGTTGCTGCTAAGGACACCCCCCAGCGCCTGGGTGTCCCTGTCCTAAGCGTAAGCGGCTGGGCACACAAAAAGAAAGAAGAAAACCGAAACCATAAAGACAGTTGCTGCCAAGGACACCCCCCAGCGCTTGGGTATCTTTGTCCTGGCCAGAAGCGGCCGGCCGCACAAAAAGAAAGAAGCCGAAACCATGAAGACAGCTGCGGCGAAGGACACCCCCCAGCGCCTGGGCATCTCTGTCCTGGCCATAAGCGGCTGAGCACACAAAAAGAAAGAACGAAACCGAAGCCATGGAGACCGTTGCTGCTAAGGAAACCCCCCAGCGCCTGGGTATCTCTGTCCTGGCCGTAACCGGCTAGCCGCAAAAAAAGAAAGAAACCGAAACCATGCAAACGGTTGCCGCGCGCTAATGACACCCCCCGGCGCGCGGGTATCGGTGCCCTGGCAATGGTCCGCCAGTAAGAGGAAGAAAGCAAGGAGCAGAACCTGCTGAGACTCTGAATAAAACAGACGCCGCCAGTGGGGCCCTCCGCGGCTTGGGTATCTCTGTCCTGTCCATAAGCGGCTGGCCGCACGAAAAGAAAGAAGCCGAAACCATGAAGACTGCTGCTTCTAAGGGCAACCCCCAGCGCCTGGGTATCTCTGTCCTGGCCATAAGCCGCTGAGCACACCAAGAGAAAGAACGAAACCGAAACCATGGGGGCAGTTGCTGCTAGGGGCACCCCCCTGCGCCTGGGTATCCTATCTCTGTCCTGGCCGTAACCGGCTAGCCGCGCAAAAAGAAGGAAACCGAAACCATGAAAACAGTTGCCGCTAAGGGCGCCCCCCTGCGCGCGACTATCTCTGTCCTGGCGATGGCCCGCCAATAAGGGGAAGAAAGCAAGGGCCCGAACCTGCGCAGACTCTGAACAAGACGGGCGCCGCTAGTGAGGCCCTCCAGCGCCTGGGTGGGAGGGTATCTCTGTCCTGGCCATAAGCGGCTGGCCGCACAAAAAGAAAGAAACAAACCGAAACCATAAAGACAGTTGCTGCGAAGGACACCCCCCAGCGCCTGGGTATCTCTGTCCTCGCCGTAACCGGCTAGCCACACACAAAAAAAGACCTACAAGGAACCAAAACCAGGAAAACCGTTGCCGCTAAGGACACCCCCCAACGCGCGGGGCGGGCCTCTCTGTTCTGGCCATGATGGCTCAGGCTGCCGGCCCCGGGCAAGCTGCCCGGTTTTAAATTGGTTTGGAAAAGCATTAATGTAAAAGCGGGAGGGGGGCCAAACAAATGCGCCAGAATGTCGGGGCGAATGGCCAGGGGGAAGACGCGGCACACTGCCCAAACAGACAGGGGGCGAACGCAGCCGGTGGCTGCGGCCGCGCGAGGACAACCGGGGCCGACTGCCTGCGGGCCCATCGCGCCCAAGTCTTCTGCGCCCGACCATGCAACGGAAACAGGACCCATCAACAAAATGGGGCAAACCAAGACCCCCCAGGGGTCTTTGCAACATACGCAACACAACGGGGCGACGCTGGCATAGCACCAAACGGAAACCCAAGGCAAAGCCCACAAAGAATCACGACAAGACACGGCAGGGGCCACAAGGGATGCGCCGCAAAAACCTATCCAACAAAAACGGCGCCCAAAAACAAAAGCCCCGGGCCACCCTGGTTTTTGTGCAGCCCACGCCGAAAACACTGCGAACGTTCTGGCTTCTCCAGTTTGGGTCTCCACGGTGATTATTGTGTTAGTTTGTGGCTTAAATTTTGTTTAATTTGTGGTTTAATTTTGCATTAAAATTTGCATTAATTTGTTGGGGGTGCGAAATCCCTAAGGATTCGCCTTGTTTCTAAATTAGTGCAGCTTTTATATGGGGGCGACTGGGCAAGTCACCGTAAAAAAATCAAAATTTTTTTGCATTCAAGAAGTGGCCACCTAAATGATCACGAAAACGGCCTCGAGTCGCCACCTACTTCGCTGCTCCGGAACCGACGTCGTCAGGTGAGCTACGCTGAAGAGCATCCAAATGAGAACTAGCTAGGAGCTCCAACTTGAGCTAGCTAGTTTAAGCATGTGGAAACGCATTCAAAAGGTGCTGGCTTAACGCAATGCAAGCAGCTGCTGTGGTGATTGGTAGGCATTTGGCGGCCCGGCTGTCGCGTCGGGCGGTGTAGAGGTCCCTGCACCACCTGGCACCAACCGAGGAAGCAAGCGGAATGCCTGAAAGTGGCACACTTTTTGGATTGTCCTGTCACATGTGGAAGCTCTCAAAACAGAGGTTTTTTTTGCGGGTCGTTCAAATCGCCAAAAAATGAGGTGCGGCGGGACCTCATTTTGAACCTCAAACGAAATCCATCACACCATCGCGATTAGCTTGCAAAAGTGAGGTCCTAAACGAGGTCACGAAATGACCTCCGAGAGGAAGCCTGCCATGCGGGTTAGTAAAAACCCGCCGCACCGTCGCGAGTCGCCACTTTTTAAAAAAAGCAGATGCGTTCCTTTAGCATCTCCTTGATTTCGCTGGTTCCGCCGGTCTCCAGATACTCCGGAACGGCGTCACCCCCCGACAGCCGGGCCGCGCGTTGCCCTTCAGTGGCCTCCTGTTTGGCATTCGATTTGAGGCTGTTTGCAGTCATCTCACCTATACCTAGAGTCGACCTGAGCTACCTATTTCAAGTTGGAGCCTCTAGCTAGTTTTGAATTCCATATCACCATCGACAGCTGGCTCCGGAGACGCCCGCGACACCTGTTCTGGAAACGCGAAACCGCGCGGCACGGTGGTGGTTCTAGTTGCGATTATTTCATAAATGCAAAAAAATTTTGATTTTTTTACGGTGACTTGCCCAGTCGCCCCCATATTTTATTGCAAATTTTATTGCAAAGATTATTGCAAAAATTATTGCAGAGGTCAGGCCGCGGGATCTTGCAAAAAGCATCGCAAGTCCTGCCGCCTCCTCTGCAAAAACCCTCGGCCCCTTCTGAACCATAAGAGCCCCACTACCAAGCAAGGGCCACAGGTTGGGCCGGGATCGGCTTCCCGGTACCGGCGGGCGACACCCTGCCCCCACGGGCCCCTTGGGAAAAAACAAGGCAAAACCAAGGCCCCGGGCCGAGAAACACGACCACGAAAGCGCCACCCGAGAAGCAACCCGGCGAAACCCGTCCCCGGCGGCAAGCCGGACGATTTCGGCAAGACAAATGGAAGGCCTGCGCCCTCGCGGCGGACACAGAAGCCAAAGGCGGCACCCATTGGCCTAGGGAACAAAAGGACAGGGCCTCCGGGCTCCATTAGTTTCCCCCCTGGGGGCACCGCGCGGCGCCCTTCGGGATTTCCGGAAAGCAAGTCCCTGCCCAATCAATACACAAAGCCAACGGGGCGAAACCCGGCGCAGCTTTTTGGTTAGTGCTTATTTACGCTGATTTTATTGGCCCGAATTTGCCCGGGGCTGGCTGGCTGAGATGGCCCGCTAGTTAGAGGCAGAAAACAAAGGGCAGGACCTGCAGAGACTCCGAATGAAACGGGCGCCGCTAATGAGACCCCCCAGCGCCTCCCTGGGTGGGCATCTCTGTCCTGGCCATAAGCGGCTGGCCGCACGAAAACAAAGAACGCAACCGAAACCATGAAGACTGTTGCTGCTAAGGACGCCCCCCAGCGCCTGGGTATCTCTGTCCTGGCCGTAACCGGCTAGCCACACAAAACGAAATAAGCCGAAACAATGAAAACAGGACACCCCCCAGCGCGCGGGTATCTCTGTCCTGGCCGTGGCCCTCTAGTTAGGAGAAGAGGCGGCGGCGTCAGATGGCCAAAGGCCTCCAAGCGGGCGCGCCATACTGTGCGCCCCAAGCGCGGGCGCCTGCTCATGCGTGCGCAAAGTTCTCCCGGGCACCGCAACGGCTGCCAAGGCGCGGACGCGGTAGCGAATCGACAAAGCCCGCTGGTGCCGAAGATAGGGAGACAGTCACTCGCTCACTCATTCTCTCATGTGTGTGCGGGGCTATTCAGTCGCTGTCTTTCTCGGATGTGCATACAAGTGCGAACTTTCCTAGTAAGCTGTCGCGCGCGCGCGTTGACCTCAGCGCGCGGCCCATGTTCCATCGCTCTGCTTCTGGGACCATTGACCACACACGCGCGCCTCCTCTCTGCCACTATTCTCGCAGAGGGATTCGCTTTCAGCTTCGAACTGCGCGGGATTTGCTTCGTCTGTTTGCCAGGCTTTGCGCCGTGCGCCGGGAATTCTCTCCAAGCGCTTGCCGCTTATTTGCTGGCCAAATTCCGCACGTTGCTGCGCCTGCTCCTCTCTCTGCTTTTGTATATTCTCCCTGTGTTTCTGCGTCTTCCTCTGGCATGCCCTGCCCTTGCCGTTTCCTGCCTCTTGCCGTTTCCTGCCAGACCCTAAACCCTAAACCCTACCGGGAAACAGAATAAACCAAAAGGCAGGCCACGGCCCATCGGGGGCGAGTGCAGCGGGGGGGGCCACCTTCTGCGCCCCCCATAATGCTCTGCCTCGCGCGAGATTTGTCTGAACGCGGCCAGACTTTGAATCACGCACAAAAAAAAGGCGAACCGCGACGGTATGGTCGATTTTTCTTTGGGGTTGGCAGCAGCCGGGAAGATCACCCGTTTGCCCTCTATAGGCTCGGGCGCGGGGGCGCTTTCCCGGTCGAATACCCAAAACCGCAGGCCAACAGATTTCGCAAAAGGCCGCGACTATAAGTCGCGCCATCCACTGCAAACATTGCTCTTGCCCCCTGGCAATTTTCTCAGGAAACGAGAGCCGGCCCATCCCCTGCGATGGCTCGGACACGAGGGCGGATTCCGGGTCGAATACCGAAAACCGCAGCCCGGCAGATTTCGCAAAAAGCCGCGAATACTATTCGCGTCCGCCACTGGGTAAGTTGCTTTTGCCGCCCCTGACAATTTTCTCAGGAAGTGAGAGCCCATCCCCTGCGGTGGCTCGCACACGGGGGGGATTCCGGGTCGAATGCCCAAAACCGGCGCAGTCCAGCAGATTTCGCAATCGCAAAACGCCGCGAATATAATTCGCGTCAACCAGAAGTGAGAATATTGCTTTTGCCCCCCTGGCAATTTTCTCAGGAAATGAGAGCCCGTCCCTTGCGATGGCTCGGACCCGGGGGCGGATTCCGGGTCGAATGCTCAAAGCCACATATCCACTTTAACCGGCTAGGTTCAATGACAACTGCAACGAACACCAACAACGACCACTATCGGCGAAAACTGCTGTAACTGCAGTGTCCTTCTCCTTGGAGAACTGCTATCAAGAAACAAGATGGAGAATGAGACCATGCACCAAAGACATTATCGTTGTATCCGCTCTTCTCATTTGAAGTGCTCCGACATTCGAAGCATTGTCATCGAAGATGTCGTACCGTATCACTTGTAGGCAGGTGCAGGCACTCCTGATCATCATCCCTTGCTTTCTTTCTTCGAAATTTTTTTGATCATACATCAGCTGCTATCGAACTCGAAGTCTGCAGCTTCGACCTTCGACTACTGCAAAAGCCCAAGGAACTACCCAACCAAGCTGTTGTCACTGGAGCGGGATTCTCGTCTAGCTCTGCGCCCGATCGTACTGGTAGTCGTATTCGTAGTTAATTATGTATCTATAGAAAGTCGAGTCTGGTGTTGACTGACTGAGAGAGACTGTAGCTCCTGTAGTTGATGCAATCGCTCACAAATAACAACCAAAATGCTCTTTCGGTATAGCTCAACAAGAACAAGGCTGGCGCTTATGTTCCTTAATCGTACATCGGATTTTCATTGACAAGACTAAGTAAAGCTTGTTCATTTCAGCTCAGTTAGCGGAGTTTGTAGTAAAAGTTGTAAAGTTTGACACTCACAACAGTCGGTCGACTGGAAGAGCACGCAACCAAAATTTGTACTCTACTTACCTAATCATTTTTGGAGACAAGGATTGGCATTCAAAATCAAAATGAGACACACAATATTTTTTAAGCTCAGAAACCAAAAGTAAAGCTCAAATCAACAAGAGCGGAGCTGCCTCTTCTCGTGACGGAGCTCCACCAACGCCAGTCGTAGATGTAGTAGATGTCGTGGTCACTTTAAAAACTCCGATCGCTGTCCCGATGGTGAGAAGCACCAAGATTGTTACGTCTTCCACAAGCAGAGCGCTCGAACAGCTAGAAAAGAGGTCCACTCCAACGGCGACGATCCACGCCGAGACACAAAACACTACACTACCGCCGACTGCGGCAGCGCTGCTGGGCGTGCCTGCGATAATTGTAGTCCACAAGTGAGGCAGATCTAAAAGATATTTGTGCAGCTCTATTATGATAAAAATTTGATTCAGATTTACTAAAAGTAAAAACGCACTACGGTCACATTCAATCATACAATCAGAATCAGAATAATTACGAGAATCAAATCCTTGCAGTAGGCGATTCGGTTACTCATACTCGTCAAACAACCAAAACCGAGCAGAAACCATGACAACCATGATCATCTATCACATAAAACACAAGAAATACTAGTTACCTCGACAGAAGGCTCGGCTAGCCCAATCGTCGAATTGCTCGGTGAAAAAAACCTGTATATATGCAAGAATGATCTTTTGATAAGTACTAACTAGTACCGCCGTAACGGGTCATGTGGACAACATAAGAGGGAACAATACAACCAAGAACATGAAGCATGCAGTAGAAGTTCCTTTAGCAACAAACAAGAAAATGCAATAAATGGAAATGGTGTAGATTTGTAAGACCATCACAATATAGAAAGAGAATAAAAGTCATCAAGGAACAAGAGTAAGTACCACTGACGTGTCACAGAGCATTGCGGCAACGAAGAGACCAGCCATGGTCTTAGCAGCAGACACATTTTCACACTTCCTGTTAGCTCCCTCGCCCGCCAAAGCAGTGATCACGAGTGCACCACTCAAGAGCACAGGTCCGGCGGATCTCATCAGCAGGTAATCGAAGTACTGAAACCATGCGTGTTCTGGATCCACAAAATCATCACGAGACATGAAGCGAAGCGTGTATCTGCTGGCAAACGTGCACAGATCAAACAGGACGCTCAGACAATATGTCGCAGAGAGTAGAAGGCTGGCGATGACGACGGGGCTCTGTGTTGGAGAGGCAAACAAGATGTAGTAGCTCACTTTTCTCGATCTTCGTGTCATATACCATCATGAACTACGATCGAGTTTCATTTCCAATCCAACAACCTACACAATCACATCAATTAGTAAAAACAATTTGTTTCGGGCTAAAGCTATGCTTCCTCCATAGCTGCTCCTTATGATCTCACCTGTGCGCATGTTGTATTTGGACCGCCCGCGTAGAAGCAGAACGTAACTGCGCCAGTAAGTGCAAACTCGGCTTGAAACAACCCCAACCAGAATTCGACTGTTCGGGCAAAGAAGATTTGCCGTTGCGGAAGCTGATTTTGTTTTTGATATTGATTGCGATTGGAAATAGAATCATGAAGAATAAATTTAACATACCTTTATGATAGGCCGAGACGTAGAGCGAACATTCCATGACTCATTGAAGAAATTCTAAAGTTGTTGATACTGAGTCAGTCACGATTATTCACACGCAGACGCACTACGTCTCCAGATGAGTCACACCTATCACTTTGCTCACTTTTAATTTTATGCTTTTCTTTTTCCAACATCTACGTCGGTCTACGCAACGGACAACAAAATACCCTATCGGCCGAGCAGCAATCGTGCTTGGCTTGCAAGTAAGATCGAATCCAGAAGACATTGCACAAGTCGAACAGAATCCCTGGCAACACAAAGCACGCCGCAATGTTCATTTTGAGCGGACACTCAGTGGCATCAAGTGCCATGGTGCACAGGCAACCCACTGCAAACAGGTCCACCAGCAACGTGAGGAGGGTCAGCACCTGCCGCGAGGACACACCGTCGTCGTCATGGAGAGAATCAACAGCTGGTCCGCTCTCTGGCAGTCCACCGCTAGCTCCATCATCACCTGTATTTGCCTTCTCAGCTAGTGTGGGCTCCTGTGAATCTGAATGCGGCTGATAACACGTTCTCCCTGTGGTTGACGATGTCGTTTTGTACCTGTGTGCAAAATCCACTTTATCGTGCATCTTTTCCCAACTCTCGTCCTTTGTGTCAAATTTATACTTGTTTTCCTGTAGAAGTTGCGTAAATCATATTTTCCTGCAGTTGGTTGCGTAAAAAATAAAAAATCATATTTGCGAAGAGTGATTGTGCATGTGCATGTCTAGGCTGTGCAACTTACTGGGACGAAATCGTGACGTACGTGAAAAAAAATAAATAAAGTTGCTATTGCATAAAGATCATGATCAACAGGAACAGCTTTTATATGACACTGCCGTAGCTGGCACTTTCGATAGGGGGTTACTCGCTTCATCTTACCTTTCTTCATTTTCAGGGTTTGGCGAAACGTGGGAAAGTCCTTGTTGCGATGCTGCAGCTCCCGCAGCTCTTGACGGCTGCGCATCAGCGCCATTAGTCGCGGCCATTTCCTCAAACGGAGAAAAACAGTAGCCATCGAGGTTAACTTTTCCCGTCCCCTCGCCCCCGGGCTCGTCGAGGTATTTTATTCCAACGAGTTTGAACTGCTCGAGGTCCATGATGTCCGCTTCGATTTCTCCTCGACCGCTTTCAGCGTGAACGGAGCTTCGCAGAATTCTGAATCTAGCAAAATATAGTAGGTGGAAAGAGGTGGACCTCCACCTCCTACAATTCGAGTATGAGCGTTCTATATCTATATCTTCATCTTGTGATGTTCATTCCTGTTTATAGGATAAACACCGAAATCTGCAGCAGGGTTGCAGCGTTGACCTTTTTGCTCGACGAATGAGCGACGTTCCAAAATCAGTATCAAAGTCGAAGGAAACGATTTTGCATTTATGCTTATTGATGAAGGCTCTCACTCTCTCTGTATCGCTCAACATCCTATACGAAAGAAAATCGATGATCGGGTGCTCGCTTCTGTAGACATACACACCACTTCAACATCATTGATACGCGTCAACATCTCAACACTCGACCATCGATCAACCTTCAACTTCTCAAGCCCTCAGAGAAATGCTTCCTATGCTTTCTCTTGAGCTTGAAATTGAACCAACTCGAATACACACATGAAGAGGAATAGCAAAAAAACAAACCCTACAGATATATCTTGTGATTAAAAATAAATGAGAAAAAAAAACAGATAAGGTAGTATAGTAGATAAAGACGCGATGAAATATAAAACAGACTTGTCAAGCAATGAAATCTTGTACAAGAAGATGAACATCTCCAGTGTCCCATTAAAACAGGTAAGTTTCAGGGAATATCACAGAAAAAAAAGCGAAAACAGAGACCGCTGCTCCAAGAGCTCGAGAAACATAATACTCAATTACAACTGAAACATTCATTGCAGCTGCATCCTCTTTTGCGAAAACAACTTTGCAGAGGAAACCGAGTGTAGGCTGTTCCGGATTCATTCGAGCACTCTTGATTAGATTGAATTTATGTTATTTTTGAGTTATCCAGCTGAAACTTTTGAAAATATGTAAAATTAAAATCCAAATTACTAGATAGACAGGTTGTAAAATATTTATAAATAATATTATTTTTTCTTTAGTATTTCTGACCGCACTGCGCTGCGAGATAAATAATAGCTAAAGGTAAACGTCGTGAACAGGACAGCAAAGGCGTACACAATAGTGTTAGATTTCACTTCAGAGTGACATTGTACAGATCAGGTCGCCCACGTGTGAAGCTGGTGGCAACGTCAGAAGGGTCACACTCACAAGCAATGATTTTCTACAAAAGAAACTACCCAGACCGCAGCTAAAGGTAAAAGCCAAACTCAAATCGATAAAAAATAGTTGCGCCTACCCCTCTACCACGTCTTCAGAATCAGAGATAGAGCAGTCTGCAAGAGCATGAAAAAGAAAATGTAGAGGTCAAATTCCAAAAACTTGATCTCCGCCGTGAAGTAGAAGATGTCATTCGTGAAAAACAGGTTAAGAGCCTAGCCCGCTAGTCTCGAACTTCCTCCTGTTGCTTCCGCCGGCGAGCAGGCCCCATTTTTTGTCCTGCTGGTAGAAGAACAAGTGCTAGCGGCACGACTAGCTGCTGGTGTCTGCAGCTCTTCTTGAACGCCGGCGCTTGAAGAAGATGAAGAGCGATCTTGGACAAGCAATTCTCCTCCGCCGCGCCCCGGAGAAAAGATATCTCGTGTACTTCCGGCGCTGTTTTGCTTTCTCTTCAGCAGTTCTGCAGTAGCGGCCCACCCGAGGACTGGAGTGAAACTCACTGCTTGCACAAGATTTCCTTTGATGTGCTCCTCTCCGATCACGCCTATGTCTCTGTAAAGCGCAGCCGATACTTGTCCCGATCGGGTCCCCTGGTAGAAAGCGACAGCTTGTCCTCCCTTGCTGGCCAATCGGTGTGTCGCCGGAACACGCGCAATCAAGCCTCTGGCTTGTTCCCCGCCGATACCTTTCACCCACGACAGTCTGTACCACTTCCCGTCCTTGTACAGCTGCGTCAAGGTTCCGGGGCCCTGGTCAGTAAAAGGACCAGTCTGCGTGTCCCACTGATCCCGGTAACGTTCTGGTAATGTCACCACCAGCTGAGCGTTGATGTCACCCGTGCTCTGTAGATGTTGTTTTTGGCTCGCTTTGCTGGTCGCGAAAAACATGCGGGCCAAATCAAGCCACAGATCATCCGCAAGGGAGCAAGGTCCTCGCTGCGCTCGCGCTACCTCTGTCTCGCTTACGCTTCGACCGTTTTCCGCTACTTGTGTGGTGTTGAGCACGTTGTTGTTCTTCTGTTCATTCTTTGTTTTTGCACGACGTTTCATGACTCTTTCCCCGGAGCAGCGTGGAATTGCTGCATCTGCACTTTCCGTACTGATGCTCATTTTATGTTTCTGCTGGTCGTCTTCGTCACGGTGCTGATGATGAGTCATCTCCTCGCCTGCCGCCTCGACTAGTGATTGTGCGCGCTTTTCTGACAAGCTTCCAACTGGCAAGGGCCTCGTGAAGAACGCCGCGCCAAGGTCCACGGGAGGAACAGCAGCAAGTTGCTCTTCCTCTGACGACTCGCTCTCGGATCCAAGATTATGTGTAGTTGTTTTTGGGTTTCTTGGCATCGCTGGAGACTGAATGTACCGCAGCCGTCGATGCTCCTCGATCGGATTTACCTCCCGGTTGACCTTCACTTTGCCTGGCCGTCCTCCAATGCAGCCGCCACTCGCGCAGCTATTCGCACAAATCGCAGACGTGTGCGCTTTTCTCGCTCCAGCTTCGTCGTCCTTGTTCTTGGGGTGCTCGTGCCCTGCTTTTTCTTCTGGGCGTTCATCTTGCCACTGTAGTGGATGCGCGGGATGGTTTCCTAGCAATAGCATGATCCCGCCGTTGCTTGTTCGCTCCTCCTGTCGGCCGTCGACAGACTCCGCCGGGTCTTGTCGATGTTCTTGTTGAGAACGAGGGGCCTCGGCCCCATTGCCATTTGACGCAGAACTCGAATCAAGCAAGGGACTTGCAGATGTCGGATCCTCATTCTGATCTTCGCTCGCAACTCCATGAGGTTCGCACTTCAGCTTCAGGTTTATTTGCTTCTGGGATTTATTCCATCCAAGGAAGACAAGGATACTGATGACTAAACATCCTGCCAGGAAGCCGAAAAACCGCGCGAATACAGAAGGCCGAGAGAAGGAAAACCTGAGAGAAACAGATGTAAAATGAAAAAAAAAAAATATTTATATGATTTTCATTTTTGCCATTGCCTTCGTGATACTGACATCCTCCATAAATCATACTACTAGTAGCGATACCGGATCCCGTACTAATTTTCGAGAAATAAGCACCTCCCCCTGTCATGTTTAGACTTCTACCTGCTCATGCGCGCGCACAAGTACGAAGTACCCCCCTCCCTGCAATTTCTAAACTTCTCCGACAACGAATACTCTGCGTAATCTTCACCTCCAAATGACCGACTGACATGTGCACGGTTCTACTTGTGCTGCGTCTAGCGGCGGCGTGAAAGACTCGGAATGGATATGGAAGCAATTATACATAGTGGGCGGATCACAAACCTCATGGTCATGGCTAACAAACTGCCCACCGGCACCGGGGTTGCTTATCATCTACGGATAAACCGGCCGGTTGGAGGTCCGTATCTCCGGCGCGCCAAACCCAGATCTTTTCCTACGAGTCCGTCGTCGGCACTGTCGCCCGCCCTGGTCCAGCAAATATGGGGCTCCCCCGCCCGCAACGCGCAACGGCAAAGCCCTTTTTCGGATATCCTTTTGTCACCGGCACCGGCGCGGCGTATCCCTTTGTCGGGAATCGCGGGCAGGCGCGCTGCGCTGTCGCGCGCCGCACTCACTGGTCAGCGCACCCACTCCAGCTTGCGAGTGAGGGCGCTGCAACGGAGCGTGACTTTTCGGTCAGGATGTCAGAACCAACGAACCGGACAGCTTCTATCTTCGACGCTTACTTAAGGATGAGGGTTGATGTGAGCTTGCTCTAAAACATTGATTTTCCTTGGGATTCACCGAAATAAATCAGCTGTCGTATTTCGTACATGCATTCATTGTCATTGAGTGAACAGGCAATATATTTCGTCTTATTTCATTCATATCTCAATCTCAGCAAATGCTGCGCCTGAGGGTGACAACATTAACACTTATTTATCTTGTACCAGCCGGTCTGGAACTCCTGTATATTGTCGTTGTCGTCTCTGAGGAAGTCACGATTCGCTGTGTGCTTGCTGTCCCGCGGTGGTGCTCGAGCAGCTGCGGGCTGCGCTTCGTAAAGACCACTCCTGTGATCTAGCTTAACTGCCTCTCCATCTCGGCCGAGCACGTCTGACATGTTTTCATGCTTTAATCCACTAGCAACAGCATCTGCCTCTGCGTCGCTGGAGTGCCGCTGTCCAACTCCAAGTTGTTGCATTTGTTGTTCACGAAAGAAGATAACGGAATCATCAGACCCCTGCTGGTGCTGCAGCATCTTCCGGCTCGGCTTGGTTCTTTTGGCTTGTCCATCTTCCTCTTCGACCATCCCTGCGTAGCCTGGGGTTCTGTGCTGCTTTGTGATTTCCGGTACGCGTACGACCGGTTTCCGCATCTCTGCTGTGGTGCGTGAGTCGTCAAGAACGACAGCGCCCATACTCGGATCATGATCTACTTCATGACGACTGGCTCCGTCTTTGAAGACGTGTTTCGCAGCCTTGTCCTTGCGGCGTGCGTCGTGAAGATCATCATCACGATCATCAGCACCATTTTTGCTTTCGTTATTTTTCGACAAGGGGGAGGACGACTTCTCGCTCGCGCGTTCTTCTGCCGCTATAGCCAATGGCACTGCGATTTCTTCCTTCTCGTGAGCAGGTCCTCGTCTTCCTGTTGCTGCCGATTCAAGTAGCCCTGGCCGTTGCATGTCAGCATCGTGTAGTAGAGCAACCCGTGCTTGCTGTCCTCCAAGACTCTCGCGTTGCAGCGGCTCTTGCTTCGTGAACGCGCTGTCGATTGTGACAGGAGGTGAGGGCAGTATTTCGTTGATGTTGCTCGAGCTCGACGTGGTCTCAGCGCTGGCCTGATCGGAACCGGCGTTGTTGCGACTGCTTTTGTCCCCCGTGGTCCATGTGCTGTCATGCCTGTGCTTCGAAGCCCGAGGAAATCGAAATATCCGGCGCGTACTCCGCGGCAAGCGAAAGTGTTGGACAGCAGACCGAACGTTGAATCCATGGACGACCTCCATGCGAAAACAAATTGGTGCACTTCTTGAAGACACGCACTGGGCCCGACGAAAAAGGCGTGAAAAAAAAGACACAGGAGCAGCATTCGCAAGAATGACAGTGCCAGTAGTTTTTTCCACCGATGGAGTACGAGTAGGAGTAGTTGAACTTGAATTATTCCCAGTTGCAGCTACTGGAACCGCTGGGGAATCCTGTTGCAGTTGCTGCCAAGAAATGCCGGCCGCGCCTGCCACTCCCAGCACTGGTTCTTGAACTTGTACCAGCATCCCAGCCTGTCGCTCACGATCATCTTCATGGGGTTCCCTGCCGCTCTTAGTACAAGATTTTGTCGTGGCTCCATCCGTAACCGTAACATTTCTTCTGTCATCTACGAAATGCGATTTCGAGGTCGTTTGGTGCTCATTCAGTAAACCAGTGCTGTGCGTGATCAGATAAATATTTGTTGGTCCACAACAAGCTGCGCTGGCAGACGCAGATGCTGGCGTAAGCCGTCTGGTTGTTCTGACCATGTGGATCATGGTTAGCGAGAAAGTGTCCCACGACAGAACCAGTTCGCTAGTGACCACGCGCTCCTCCAGCTCTAGTCCTAAATCTGCATCACCTTCGTCTCGTCCTACCTCTTCATTTTTCCGCATGGCATACCGGCGACGAACTTGTTCTTGTTGAACAGATTGAAGACGTAACAAGCGGTCCCACGTGTTCAAGAACAAGGTGACTGTGCCATCCGAGGAGCGCAGAAGCTCGGTGACGGCAACTGGAACTTCCGCAAGAACACCAATATTCGTGCTGTTCCGGGACCAGGAGGGCAGCGTTGTGTCATTTGGAGGCACCACTGCGGAAATTCGAGCGCGGTTGAGGATGAGCAGGACTCCGGTGTCATGTTGACCTGGCATGATTGGACGAGTTGAGCAAATTCATTCTGTTTGTTTCTCCTTGGTTCGGAGAGTCCTCTGAAAAATCAAAAATACAAATTAAAATTAGTAGGCTCTTCCGAAAAATAAAAACCAAATATGTAAATGCAAACGAAAGAAAGTCGAATCTGTACCAAAGTAGCAAAACGTAAATACAGTACTGATACTTTCTGGTAAATCTGCTGGCAGTGCCAGAACTTTTCGGTCGTACATCTGGAGTTGCGCGCGCGGATTCAGAAGCCCGGCATCAAAAACAGCAGCAGATTGCCAGGCGGTGTCTTCTGCTGAAGTGGTCAGTGCCGTCGATGAACTTATCACCATCATCACAGCCGAAGGCAAAGAACTCTGGTGGTACGCATAGTGCACGCCAGCGTGGTGGATCCACATACGGCTCGTGTCGGATTTCCTGTTCGTGACAGCGAAGGTTTCCGCAGTACCCGAAGATGGTAGGCCGGGTCCTTGTTCAGCCTCCTCTTCGTGTGGGTCTCGCTCCACTCGTGATTGATCACTACGGAGGGAAACTGAAAGCAGAAACTCAAGGTCTCCAGCCCGATGAGTTTTGAACTCACTGCTCCATTCAAACCGCATCGAGTCGTTAATATCCCGAATGACTTCGCGCCCCTTTTGGGCTACACGTAACAACGACTCCGGAATCGACATTCCAAAATGCTTGATGCAATCGTCGTTGGCCTGCCACGTAAGGGCAACGCCAATAAGGGCCCACACGGGCATTGCCGACGAACTCGAATTTACAAGGAGTAGCTCTCACGAGAAGATCCAGAAGATCAGCAACAAAAATATTTATATCGATAATCTCCAAAGTAGTGCCGCTCTTAGTTCAACACCTTCTAAACGGAAGAATCTGTGAGAAAGCTAGAAAAGGACCACAAGCTCCTCATACATCTCACAAATGCAAGATGACGGATTCTCGACTACTACTGGAACTGAGCTCTCTGAAGGTGAAGTTATGCTACGTATAAAAAAAAAGTTATTTCGTACGATGAGCTCATCGACTGCCTCAATTCAGCTGCTGGGTATCCACAAAGAAAGACCCACTCTGCGAGGATTTATGATAAAAATATAGACGATGAGCCGCCTTCATATCTGTCTTTTTGTAGAGAGCGCGAGCAGGATGTTTGTCGACACAACATCACCACAGACGAATATACTCCATCTTCGACTTTCATACGAATACTGAGGGCATCACGACCCACGATCACGAATGATTGTTTATCTTAATACTTCACGACGAACCCGGAGTCTATATATCTGCACCTGCAGAAGATCAAGATATACTTCCTCCCACGATTCGAACGACTCGGACGGAAGAAGCAAACGAGGACTGCGCTAGCTCTTAAAAGGCGGCATCGATATCGGCGCGGCTGGTGGCTAGAAATTGATTTTTTTTGTTCATTGTCATTTTTTAACAACTGCGCACGCATGTTCCCGAGCTGCTATATCAAGCATTGAAGCTTCGCGGTCAGCGGAAACGTATTACGCGGACGCTGGCATCGCTTCAGGCCGGGAAGAAGACGAAACAAACGAAAAGACCAGGGCCAGGGGGCTTGCTATCCTTGCTTTTTCATAACAACATCAAAAAGTAGAGAAATTTGCTCGGATCGGTTACAGGGTTTTTTGCAATAGCGGCCTGTTGCAATTTGGTCTTTCTAACAAGAACACGACCAGCGGGAACAGGCACTTGAAAGAATCTTTATGACGTGGATCTGTCATGCTCTCACCTGCGACACTTCCCCAGTGGCAGCGCACAACCTCAGCCGTAACAAGACAGATCTACGTGCGTGATTTTTATTTTCATTTTCTTCTCTCGCGCTACAACTTCTTCCAGGTCCTGCTTGTCTTTGAAACTAGAACTACGCTGGTGCAGGTGCGGGATAATCAAATAGAAATTTACTCTTCATCTTCCACTGGTAGGCTCAGGTTGCAGCTGCTATTTCTCTTTGCAATTGCAGTTGCTCAACTAACTTCTACAGGTAGGCAACCTACCAGAAAGCGAAAGGGCATCCCTACATGAGGGCGGCTGCAGGGAAAATTAAAGGAAACAGAAAGGGCATGGCTATATGAGTCCCCCCCCTAAGCGCGATGATCTATGTCGTGGCGGGCCAGAGGGCAAAAAAAGTTGAAAACCTGAAAGCCAACCAACTCAATACGGACAACCCCCAGTTTGAGTGCTACCTGTGTCCCCGAAGAGGTGCAGGCTATTTATTGCCACAGCCTATATTGATAGTCATATCTACAATTTCATCGCAAGACTCACGAGTAATTCAATTTTCTGAATAATTCAAATTGAATAATTCAACTTCGTGAATAATTCAAATTGAATAATTCAATTTCATGAATAATTCAAATTGAGTAATTCAATTTCATAAATTTTCGTATTTTCATATCAAGTCTCAATCTTAATCTCAATCTCAAATCGCAATCTCAATCTTAAATCGCAATCTCAATCTTAAGTCGCAGTCTCAATCTTGAGTCGCAGTCTCAATCTTAAATCGCAGTCTCAGTCTCAATCTTAAATCTGAATGCGCAATAGGATCATAGTCAAAATCATTCATACAGATTGGGGCGCAATAGGATCATATCGAAAGGGCGGGGGGGGCGCGGGGGGGGGCGAGGGCCCCCCGCATGTAAGTCTTCATCTTAAAAATGAAAGCTATTCGCACAGATTGGGGCGCAATGTCATCAGATCGCAAGGGCGGGGGGGGCGCGG